GCCAGCATTGCTCTAGTGAGAGCCTCAAAAGATGAGCTCAAGGCGCGAATCAGAACCGTCATATCGTCAGCAAAAAGGAGTGTCGTCGGTAGATGGATCAGTCTACCCTGCTGGTCCGGTTCGGCTGTCAAACGTTGGATGGAGGGATCCTTTCTGAGAAATGATGCCACCGCCTCCATTATGAACAGAAAGATGGGTGCTGCTAAGGGGTCCCCCTGTCGGACCGATCTCGACAACCTGTAGTTCTGCGACAGGTGACCATTCACCTGAACCTGCCCTTGTGCATCATTGTATATGTCCCGTATCCATTTCCTGAAATTAGGTCTGACCCCCATCCTTTCCATGCACTGGTGGAGGGAAACCGGGACAGAGAAGAGGGTTTCAATTACTGAGACAATATGCACTGTGGACGATATGGAAACGTAGATGTCAACTGACGATAGGAAGGGGACAAATGCACAGACTGGAGGCCAATCAAGTTCTGCACTGCTGGAGACGGATATCACGGTCCAATGGCAAGGAGCAAGAAGGCAAGCTCAACAAAACCCGGTGAAAGCCCGGGAGATACTTAAAAACCTTTCAGCAGATATGTTGGTAAAAGGAAAGATAGCAACAATTGGAGGACACAGATTAGCCTTTCACTGGTTTGAGAATAAGGAACAATGTGAGCAAGGCTAGGGCGGCAGGCCTGGCACTCAACTTTAGTCAGAATTTGAAAAAGGGAAAGACAGGTTGGTTCGGAGTATGCTCGGGAATGTCAATGTAGCAACCATCAAAGCGTCAGGTCTCGTATTCCAATGCAGACAGAGAGGATGAAGCGGCAATAGTAAGGGGAAAGAAGAGCAACAACAGTAGGGTTTAGGGTTTAAGGAGAGGATTCGTGGAGGGCGAGAAGGAGAGAGAGGTTAGATAGAAGGAAAATAGAGGCAGGATTAGGCTTTAGCAAGGTGAGACACGATGTTTCCGTTCTTTGGGTTCTTCATTGCAACTTAGGGGTAGGTTTGTCCTTTTTGTCCATCTATTCCTTTGTATAGAATTATGCATATGGGGATGCTGGACCTGATTTCCAGCCAAGCCAAAGCTGGGTAATGGCCCCAGTACCCCGGGTTGAGATGTGGAGCGATTCCCGGCCTCCTTTTGCAAGCTGATAATATGTAAGCATAACTCTTAAACCGCTAGTACCTTTGTCGGTTGGGAAAATAAAAGAAAAAAAGTTAAGTGTCAGATTTACAAATGGAGTGTCCTTATAGCTGTTGAACTTTTTGGAGAGGAACTTGCAGTAGCTGGCATGCCAATGTTAACTGCAGTCAGCATTGTTGCTGTCACTCCCTCATAGATGTCAATCTCTTGCAGTGCGCCTTCTCTCCTGAAGATGAACGAGAAGTCCTCGCAGTCACTGTTTCTTAGGAAGGGATACTCTGCATCAGGGCAGCCATCCTTTGGCCTAACCCTGAGAAATGAGAAGACGAATGGGATCTCAAGTCCACTAATCGTGGGGGATGGCAGTCACACGTTGAAGAGGGCCACTCTGAAAGTTGGGCCCGTCCATCATTTCACCGCTTCTCAAATATCTCGGCTAAGGCCTTCCAGCAGGCGTGTGCCCGCCCTAAGTGAAGGCGGGCCCCCTGAATCCCAATGTGCCCTGAGTTCATCAATTTTTGCAAATCTTGGTGGGCGGCAGACAGTTGCCACGCACCAGTTGGTCACATCCGCCTGCTCGTGAGAATCCAAAATATGTGTGAGCCTTCCAATTCGGTCGCAGGCCACTGTCTGAACAGGTCTGGGCGCAGGCTGAGACTGAAGCTACTGGAAACTGGGTCTCACGTGGGAAGCAAGTGGAAAGCACCTGCCACTTTCCGTATAGGAAAGGGCTGGGCTCCGGTCTGCGCATTCGGACAGTCGCGTGTAGATGTGGCAGTGCTGCTGGAGCAAGTGCTCGCGGGCATCTGCGCTAGCGCAAGTGCGTAGGCGCGTGCGGGCATCGAGAGGAAAAGGGCGCTGCTGTGGGCAGCGCCATAGCCAGCCCTTGTAGCCGGGCTCGGCTTGGACATAGCCAGTGGAGGTGGTGGTGGTCTTCGAGTATGGGAAGAAAGACGTGGGAGTAGTCGAGGGTGAGATGAGGTTGTTGATGTGAGGGCACGTACCTGGTCTTGGCGATGGTCTACAAGGTCGACATCTTCATGCACTTTGGTTGTTGCTGCTGACATCAACGGGATGCATTGTCAATTCGTAGGCTGCTAGTAGCTGTGTAGTAGTAGTCTGGGTACTGACCGCCAAGTAGGAGGAAGGGCTCTGGATACATATGTTGGTGGTGGCGGGAGTATGCTCTCATTGACATTCAGATTCGGTGCTTTGGTTCTCCGTTGGTGGATTATCAGTGCATTTTTGCTTACTGGACAGCGTTGACTTTCTGGCTTTAATGTGAAATTGCATTCTGGATTTTTGTCATTTCGCTATCGCTCATTTTCCTTGCAATCTGGTTTGTCATGTAAGTAGGCAGGATTATTGTCATAGTGTCATTTGCTGTTGTGAGTCCGGGAGTCTGGTGTGACTACCGTAGCAGCCAGAGGTCTGGGATCTCTTCTCCCAACCAGAAGATCATTGGGCACGTGCAGCATGTGCCTTTATTCCAGGATGTCCTTGACTGGCAGTGTCCTCCAATCCACCAGTCTAATGGAGAAGTCATCCTGGGGTTGGTCTGTCTCCTTGTTGATGTAGTTGTCTTTCTCCCTGTCTTCTCTCATCGAAGGTGTGTGCTATGTATGTCCCCTGGATTGGGATGGCAGGTGGACTGAGTTACTTGTGGAGGTACATGGAGCCTTACCTTGTTGGCATCTCTTTGCAGCGTTGTAGAAGCGCTGTCGTTGCTGTCATGTTTTCTCCCATGTCTGCTCGTAGCTTCCACATTTCTTCTCATTCCAAAGCTTATTCTGTCTTGTCTTTCTTCTTGCTCTTCAGGTTCAAGGTGGTTAAACCACCAGTATCCCTGCTAAAGTTTTCCGACGGCCTGAATTCATGGACGCCGCTGGTAGGTCTGGTGGAGGCTGGGTCCAGCCTCGCCGAAGCCTCGGTGGTTGTTCGTTTTGAAAATGGAAACGACCGACCAGAGAAGCAACAAAAAAAAAAAGGAGAAGTAAAAGAAGAGAAAAAAAAATCATGCAGATTCTTGGGTACACATGAGAATGCAGTTACAGCCCTCTCTGGACTCCCGTGTAGGAGGGAAACACGGGAGTTATAGATAAGAGGAAAAAAAAGAAAAGAAAGGCTCTTACTCTCTGGACGTGAAAGCAGATGGATACAGAACCTTGAGGAACGGTGAGAGAGCCTCCTTGGTTGCAATTGTCAGCTTTCCGTGGAAAGCGCCCTGCCTCGTTGGCAGGGCACTTCAAGTAAGTCTTTATAAAAATAAAAAATAAAAATGCAACCGTAATACAAATTTAGCGATGATTGTGGGCAGATGCATCTTGAAGTAGCACTTGTATGAGCACAAGGGCCTCGCTCCACTAGTATAGAAATGTGCAAAACGAGAGTGAATCTTCTTCTAGAACATGGAAAGATACACCCCCATGTTTTTTGTATTTTAGTGCATTTCGATAGTAGTGGAGCGAGGCCCCAACTCCCTCGTGGCCCCAACTCCCCAGCCCGTTTTTTTTTTTCTTTTTTTTTTTTTTTTGCTGAGCACTCGACTGACAACAAGTCCGCTATTCAGGCCCATGGAAA